GCACCTCGACGTCGGAGTACACAGAGTAAAGCAGCCAGGGGGTGATTCTAAATGAGCCAAAAAGCAGAGATGGGAGCAATTGTCAAACTTTTGGTGTCGATCATTCGATTTCATCCTGGACACTACAGAAAATGGGCTTAAAGTGTAAAAAACCGAACTTCTCCTTTAAGGTGGTGGTTCAAGCCGGGGCTCACTGAGATAAGTCTGCTGGACCAGCACCTACTGATAGCTTGGCACTGCAAATAATCATTGACTGTAAAGTTTTACACAATTGGGAAGACAATTGTTTAACCATTTACGACCAATTTTTTTACAATCCATACATGCAGTACTTGTCAACAACCCCAGTTTCCTTACCAGTAACTGCACCTTATCCCTTCTTGGATGTATATGATGAGGCCTGCAAAATCTGCGGCCTCCTCCTTGATTAGTTGCACAGTATACTGAAACTATAGTGATATTGTATTTGATAAACCAGATCCTAAAATGCAGATATAATATAATGTATGTCCAGATGAGAGAAAAAAAAGGAAGAAGAGTGAAAAATGGGAAAAAGGACAAACATTGTCATTGTATTTAACTGAATCATTTTAGCTATTTGGTAGCATAATGGCACTAATTATTTCTGCCATTTTTAATTTTTTTGGCCTAATTTCATGCTTTTTTTCACAAAGAGATTTTTTTGGTTGCAATCCATTTATAAGCCAAATTCATAAAAAAAAAATAAACACTCATATAATTAAACTTTCACTTAGATGAATTATACAGTTGTATTCTAATAACTTTAGATGTAACCCCAATGTGACCCCCAAAACTAAAATGTCAGTAAATCATTTTTGGAGACTTTTTTTTTTTTTTAACCAGACATTGGGGCCAATGTGTTGTTTTGCTGCATTGAATGTTTTGGTTTTAATGAGTATCGTTGCTTGTTATGATCTTCTCTTTCTCTTAGCTACTGTTGAATTCCGATCCTCCATGGATGGCGGTATTTGTCCTCAGGAACCCTCCATAAAGTCATCTATGGTCCTGCCCACCAAGAAATCTGTATCTTTTCCAAGTGATCATCAGGAGACTCCAGCCAAACCCCCACTTTACCACAAGCAGCCACCTGCCCTGCCTCCAAAGCCTTTCACTAGGATCTCAAACCATAGCACAGGTCAGTCATTTGTTTTCTTTTAAATTTTCTTCTTTAGCTATAAGCTTGCCTCATCATCTAAGCCTCAGTCAGGCTCATGAACTGTTTTTCATGAGCCTGACTGCTTATTCCTAATGCTGTACCTGCGTTGCCACACATGCTCATAGGATTATAGTAGTCTCATTAAAGTCCCCTGCGGTTAGCTCAGCTGGGTGCTCTCTGTCAATGACAAGCTGTTGGTGTAGGGAGGAGCTATTATTCTGGCCTAATTCCTACCCCTCTGCACTGACGTTGATAGTCATGTGCCATCATTATTAACCATTGTTAATCCATCTATGCTGGACATCTCAAATAATGTAATGTAGCTATATTCCCAATTCCTTATTTTCTCTTTCTCTTTTCTTTCTGCTCAAGATTCTTGCCAGCCAATGAAGTTGCCCTGCATGCCCGGAGCAAAGCACTCCCCACCCTTGCCTCCTAAGAAAGTGATGATCTGTGTGCCTCCAGGCGGGCTCGACTCCTCGCCGTCTCCGTCCCCCATTCCCCTCAACTCGCTCCCGCCAAAGTGTGCACCTCCACAGGGTTTACCACCTCACCACGGATCGCTGCTGCCCTCCCAGTTTGTCGGGCTTTCCCAGCTCCACCAAAACCACGGCCACCCTTTCCAGCTCCAGTACGGCGGCCTTCATGCCCCCAGCCGCATCATAGAGGAGCTCAATAAAACCCTGGCACTATCCATCCAACGGTTTGAAAGGTTAGTTTCTGCCTTGTTAAATCTGGGCGGAATACGGATTAGGAGTGAACTTCTATTTGGCCTCCTATGCATAACCTGTTTTATCTTAGTTGGATTTGGCTGAAAGTGTGTTTAGTTACAAATGATTTCAAACTAAAGGTCAATGGAAGAATATCGAGTTCCAGAAAAAAAAGTTTACGTTTTTTCTGCTTTTTCTGTTTTTGTGTATTTATTCCTGTTTGCTAGCTCTGATTTAAGTGGTAACTTTTTTCTAAAGTATACCGGTACTCAGTTTTCATTGAGGTCTCATCCTGTCAGCTCTGTTGTGCTGTTGCACAGGTCTAAATCAGCACACAGCCTCTCAGGGCACCCTGACCTGTTTTTTTGTTTTGTTTTTTTTTCCAAGTGAAATTTGTGTGCATGTGTGGGCACCAACACATGGAGTAGGCGTCCCTCCAGCAGTTTGGCCTGACATAACATGACCAGCTGCTCTTGACGAGAGCCGAGTTTCTTCTCCTTTTTTTTTTTTTTTGGAGAAGAGGGACACAGTAGTAGATTGGAAATTATGTAACCTCTTGCATTAGGATCTCTTTTGCACTGGAGCTGTTTGGGCAGGGATAAGGAAGTAATGCTCCTGACAGAGCTCACAATTAGTCTGAAAGCTGGGAGTGGTTGCATAACAGTGGCTCATCATAAGAAGCTTCAACCAGACTGTTTATTAATCATTCTGTCAAATGTGCAGCTGGTTAACCTGAGATGCCTCCACAAATTGGGGGGAAAAAATGTATTTTTTAGGCTTTGTTTTCAGCTTATTTTCGTTGTCCCCATTGTATTGGATTGGATATTACAGATATATGTGTTTGTTTGAAAATTGGCTATTTGCCTCATCAACCTCAGGGCCCCTTCTCTCTGGAAATGTTTGGGATACAATTTGAGCTTTTGTCGGCCCTGTCCACACTTTATCTCCCATATTACCATCTAATTTATCTGCAGGTTAATTTCTTTGTCTTTCACCATATAGGTCAGTTTGTTTATTCTTCTGTTTTCATCTTGGATTATTTGTTGGTCTGTTCATAAAATTTTTTGGCTCTCCATTCATTGTTTTTTTTTTTGTTTTTTTTTAACCCTCTCTCCGCGTATTTTTTTTCTTTTATCAGTCTTGTTGTTTGTCTGTCCTTATATCTATCATTTACCACTCATTCATCTTTTTGTACTGCTGCCTATCCGACTGTCTGATGATCCATCCATTTATTCGTTTGTTCATCTATTTGTCACACTCATCGGTCATAGATTTTGTTTTTTTTCTCTGCCTTCTTCTATCAGCATGTTTACCCATCCATTTTTCTTTCCATCTGTCTATTTGTTTGTCTGTCTTCCTATTTCACCATCTGTCTGTCAATTTGATTGAACAGCCTTATCAGCAATAATCATATATGTGCTGTATGTCCGTTGTGATAGTAGTAGAATGAAAGGGTAACAAGAACCAATGTATTTCATTGGATTTTAGATTGTTTATTGAGGATACTCGCAATGGATCTGAAATAAATGAATAAAAGCAAAATTAAAGGCTTACATTTTTAAAAAGGTCCAGTATTTTAATAATTTAACCAAAGACTGATGACAGAAAAAAACCTAACTATAAGAACACCAACTGGTTTACTCCTGAAAGGAAAAAATAAGTAATAAAATCTCTATTTTTCTATCCATAGCTGTGCTCTACTGGGCAGTGTTCAGTGTGCTCCCCTGGACAGGAGAGAAGTGCCATCTGTGATAATAGACTACGACGACGACAAGGAAAACTTGCCTAGCGAGTCGGATTATGAAGACCTGCCCAGCATGTATAAGGACGAGGAGGATGATGTGGATGATGATGAGGAGGACGATGAAGATGATGACTCCTTATTTACAAGTGAGGGGACCTGGTGTTTTATATAAAATCTGTATACATATCCAACTAGGACTCGCATTTAAAGTAATTTGTTTTTTGTTTTTTTTATTAAAGGTACCCTGGCTAAGAAGGTGCTACGAAAAGATTCACTGGCCATCAAGCTAAGCAATCGTCCATCGAAAAGAGAGTTGGAGGAGAAAAACATTTTGCCTATGCAGACAGATGAAGAGAGGCTAGAATCACGCCAGCAGATAGGCACCAAACTCACAAGGTGAGATGTGGCTTACCTAAATATAACCATGCTACCATAATAACCTTTTTTTTAAACAAATCAAATGAGGGGCAAAAACAATGGCTGATTTCAGCTGAAGCTGGCATTTTGTGTCACGTTACGTGCAGCTCTATCCAAAATGGATGTCTTTTTTTTTTTCACATTCTATTTTCATCCTTTTTTTTTTATCTTCTTCCCCTCTGAACATTTGATAAGGATACATGCTTTATCTCGTTAAGAAGTCTCTGAAAATGGAGCTGACCTAATTTCAGTGAAGCATCCTCCCTCCCCTTTTTTTTCTCCTTCTCTTGTCTTCTCTCCAGTGTGCTTTCACTATCTCTCTCCTCTTTCCTCCTGCTGCCTGACTTCCTCCCTCGCTCACTGAATCACCACAGTGATGCATGTGCCAAACTAGCTCCACTCCGGTTTTTCACAACAGTGCCATAAAAACCTTTTTTTCTTTTCTTCCAAAAACCAGCAATTTTACACCAGCATGATGCTGAAACTGGATCTACACATTGCACAAATGAGTATTTATATATGGAGTTCTTAAATGATGATTTGATTGTTTGGTCCTCGGCAGGTTGTATTCATTATGTCCAGAGGCTTCAATGTCAGGGTCTACAATCATTTATTAGACTGAGGCATGTGTTTAAAGCAACTGAACGAGTTTACCTAATTGAAAGGCTATTAGGTGTACACAGAAATGTGTCAGGAGGAACTGGTAAAAGTAGCTCTGTCCTTGGGATATTGTCTTATTGGCAAATCCATACTTTCCAACCTGTTCTATTCTCTACCTTGAGGTCTATTTTCAAAGTAGATTTCTTTGCCTATAACTGTATCTTTCTGCAAGACTTGCCTAAGACATCCCCTGTGTGGCAGTAACATTAATGACTATGAAACTACAGTACGTGGGCAGAGAACGACAAGTTTTTTAATAAAGGGTGGTGCCAAGCACAGCAGATTAAAATCAGGAGAGTTTTCAGCAACAGGAGAAATGAAATACATCTGTGCTTTTCCCCATTTTTTTCATTATCGCCATATTTATACAACTAGATGAGGTGTGTCTGCAAAGACTTGTCTATAAATGTTCTGATTGAAGTTGAAGACTTGAATGCGACTGGAAAGGATTCAGCTACCCAATGATTTAAATGTTCTCGTACTTGCATTATTTTGCATTCTTTTTTTCAACCAAAGTAAGATTGTTGACACAAAAGAAAAAAGGAAAACTATTACCAACATCTTCTCTATTTTATGTTCATTAATAACGGCTGATGAGGATAATGACGTTCCAGGAGGAGGTATATCACCATCACACAGGATTACTTTACTGAATAAAGAGCTAAGGACCACTAAACAAAACCTAAGCATAACAAAGGAAAACTGAGTCATCCAACCTAAACATGCAACTTCTTCAAAGCTTGATTGCTGAACTGTCTGCTCTATTCAGTCTAAAAATCAGGAGCAACTACATGATGCAATGGCGTTTCTTTGGACCAATATGAAAGAGAGTATTCCTGACATCTTGCACAAATGGAGCATTTTCTTTGGAGGGGGGGCATTGTTGTACTGAGGTGTACCTATGACGTTGTTAAGAGTGTATCATTTTAGAAGTTGTATGTTTTGTTTTTTTTTTGTTTTTTTTTTTAGAAAGTCCAATAAAGCATTTGTTAGATTTTTAAAGGTGTTTTAACCTGATTCGACCTATGCTGGATTAAAGCAAGGACACCGTCTGGCTCTTTCTGAATTTAAGTACTGCATTGCGTTGATGGATTATAGATTTAGTGAGGTAGTATTCATAGCAGGGTGACACTATAAGGTATGCCTCTGTTGAGCTTTCATTAAGTATGACATTTAATCTTAAATGGTGTCCTTAAAGAACTCTATTTAGAAATTATTTGGAAAGGCAAAAGCTGAAGTACTGAGATTAGTTGTTCTCAGTTTTAGAAGAAGTCACTGTGAATTCTAACTAGTTAACTTTCTTGGGATTTACTGTAAATAAATGGGACAAATATATGGAAGAGAAAGTTGCCAGGTTTTCCTGAACTTCACATAACGTAGCCCTTATCTACAATGTGTCAGGTTGTGATTTGACTTTGCTTTATTTGTTAGTATGAGTTTTGTAGAGGTCACATTCCACATGACCATAAAGTGTTTAACTGACTGCTGAAACGTATATGTTTTGTGTTTTATGAAACCATAATTTCACCCTGAAATGGGACATCGTTTTATGAGATTCACATTTTGATCATAGTCAGCTCAATCAGCTAAAAACTGGAAAAACAACAATCATGCACATTAGTCACCTAAATCATGTAAGCAGGGTTTCAGTGACTAATGGGTACCTTAATGTTTATACACAACTATGTTCCTGTTATGAAAAGGTAAATATGTTGTGAAAAGGGAATGCAGGACTATGAAAAACAGTCATAATCAGAAAAAACCCTCAATTGTGTACATCTGCAAATGTCCAGGCTTCTGTTGGCATTTCTAGAGATTTTTTCCCCTCCAGAACTATACAGAGAGAGAAAATAACAAAAGCAGTGTGAGAAAGTTAGGATTTTTGCTTGTTTGAGACCAGCATAGGATCCGTTTTTTTGAAAATATTAAGTTTTAAGAAAGACATGAACCAAGGTTCGCCATCAGGGCCCTTTTAACGTTTTCACATTTTCTTAGGTGACCACAAGCTTTAGGATTTGACATGAAAGAAACTTTTGTGCGCTTCACAGATCTAAATGCCAAATTTCTTTTAAAAATTTTTTTGCATGGGATGAAGCTATCTGTCAACAAAGATTTTGCCTGCTATTTAAAGACTCAGAATTATGGGCGCTCCGAATAATATTTATAGAGTGCTTTACATAGTTGGACTATCTTTAAAAGTAAAAGATTTAAAATGATGAAAAATTATTAAAAAAGATTAGAAGGAAAGAAATAAAACAGTTTCATGGTTCAGTGAATC